TTTTTTTGGTCTTTTTGAGATAGGGTCTGGCTGTGCAGCTCAGGCTGGCCTCAAGCTCACTTTGTAGCCCAGGCTGACCTTGAACTCATAGTGATCCTCCTGCCTCAGCCTCCCAAGTGCTGGGATTATATATGTGCGCTACCATGCCCAGCTTCCTTCTCTTTTATGGCCCAATGGGATTGCATTCCAGGAGATCTGTCACACACTGGGCTTGTTTCCCACAGGCAGGACACCTGAAAAAGCAATGTTGTTTTCTGTACCCAGTGGCCCTGGAAGGGGCCAGGGAGGTGGCTTAGTAGAGTAAGTGCTTCCCTGACAAGCACAAGGGTCTGAGTTCAATCCCTGGTTCCACAAAAAGAAAAAAAATAAAAGACCTGCCCAGTGGCCCTGGAGGTAATTAGTGCTTCCTTCCTGTTTTTGTCTTTTCTGTTCCATTTTTCCTTTCTTTTCATTATTTTTACTTTATTTTTTGTGGCCAACTCAGCCCATCCTGGGGGTGGGGCTGGTGTGGCATGAGGTGCCAGGGATTGAACCACGGTCCTTGTGCTTGCCTAAGTCTGCCTAAACAGGCACTTTAGACTGCTGAGTTATCTTGCTGGCCTTCTTATGTATTTTTTGAGACAAGGTCTGGCTTTGTAATTCAGGCTGGCCTTGACCTTAATTTGTACCCCAGGCTGGCCTCAACTGGCTCAGGGCATTCTCCTGCCTCAGCCTCCTAGACTCCAGGATTTGCAGATATGTGCCACCACTCCCAGCTTAGCCCTTCTTTTCTTAGTGGCCGAACCTGGAGGCAGGCAGCTTCCCAGAGATAGATGACAATGTCATGCCAGGTCTCCAAGTCTCCTACCCTCTTCACCTGTCCACTGCTGTCTCTGTCCACACCCAGGTGATGACAAGTATGGGAGGAAGATCATTGTGTTCAGTGCCTGCCGGATGCCACCCAGCCACCAGCTGGACCACAGCAAGCTCCTGGGGTGAGTCCCTCCCTGCTAGGCTGGGCTGCCTCCCTTGTGCCTCATGTCTTCCCACAGGGGTGGACTTGGGGGTGGGAATCTGCTGCTTTCTTGTCCTGGAAACAGTGTGAAGTCGGTCAGGGTCTTCGAGGCTCACTCACCTCAGGAGGTTTAGAAATGCAGCCTTCTTTCCTTATGGAGTGGGTTCCTTCATGTAAAAATGCCTTGGGCAGTTTGATACCAAGCCAGATGGTGCTGTGCGCCTGTGAGCCCAGTATACAGGAGGCTGAGGCATGAAGATTGCTCAAGTTCCAGGCCAGCCTGGACAACATAGTGAGACCTGTCTCACGGTTTGTTTGTTTTTTTTTCAGAACCAGGGATTGAATTCAGGCCCTTGTGCTTGCTAGGGAAGCGCTTACTCCACTGAGCCATCTTCCTGGCCCATTTTTTTTTTGGTGGGGGGGTTTGGTTTGAGATGGGGTCTTTCTCAGTTGCTGAGATACCCAGGCTTTACTTGAACTTTGGATCCTCCTGCCTCAGGTGTGCCCCACCACACCTGGCCATCTTTTTTTTTTCCCCTGACAACATAAAAGCCCTCACTTGCCCCTGGGGCTGTGTCTGAGGGTCTCAAGGCTGAGCTAGAGGGCCTAACCCACCCAGCAGAGTAAGTTTGCAGGCCTGCCAACTCCTGTCTCAGAAGAGGAATTCTGAGGTGCAGTTGGGAGGAGGCCTGGTAAGGGCTGGTCAGGGGACCAGTTGGGGTGAGTGCCGGGTGAGGGGAGGCACTTCCTGAAACAGGGATCAGCTTGGCTTCTCTGGAAGGGGTGGAAGCCCCAGGGAGAAGGCGGAATCCCTGGTGTGGGCATGGGACTTTGGTCCTTAGGTAAATATTGTTTGTGTTCGGTCAGCCTGCGCCTTCACCATAGAATCAGATGCCTGCGCTCAGTTATTCCAATTTATAGACATCAGGCTTTCCTGAGGGACTTGGGCCCCAGAGGGCAGGGGCATGATGTAAACCAAAGGACCGCCACGCTGCCCTGCTTCATACGCACCATCTGCCTTGGTGACTTGGCTGGGCCCTGAAAGTTGCAGTCTTTGTAAAAGGACAATTTTTAGCCAGGCAGGTGGTGCACACCTGCAGTCCCAGGTGACACTGAGGCAGAAGGGTTGCTACTGGCCTGAGCTCTGTTGTGGGTTCAAGGCCAGCCTGAACTGTAGCAAACCCTGTCTTGAAATATAACAAAATCCAATTTTTTATGACCTCTGTATCTCCTTTGTGCCTACATTTCATTTCTCCTCTCCTACTTCAGTGGAAACCTGACTTCTCCATGCCGCCTACAGTGGCTCTTGAAATCCTGAGGGGTGTGCGTGTGCGTGGGGGGGTGGGGGGGCTAGGCTCGGGCCAGCAGAAGTCCTGATGCCTGCGTTTGGGTCTCTGCTGGTCCGGGCTGAGGACCAGCACTGGCAAGACCGTGTGCTTTTTGAGACAAGAGGCTCACTATGTAGTTGAGGCTGGCCTCAAATATAGACCCCTCCTCAGCCTCCAGAGCCTGGACATGACAGGTGCGAGCCGCGTGGCCTGTTGGGACCGCTAGGTCTCTCTCCCCACCTCTTCCCTCCTTTCCTCCTGCGCACTTGGGGCAGGCAGTGTCTGGCCCAGGCCACCTTGGGCCCCGCCAGAGACAGGCTCAGAAGCTTGGCCAAGGCACGGCTGAGTCATTGGTGTCCTGGGGCTGTTTCTAGGTGTCTGCTGATCCAGGTGACGGTCTCCTGGCTAGAGAACAGTCCTGGTGGGGGTTGCGGTGGGCGGAAGGGGCAGGACCAGGGAAGCATCCAGATCGCCGGGGCCACTGTGGAGGGAAGCCACAGGCTTCCTGCCCCTGCAGCGGGCCTCGGTCCCTTCCGGCCTTCGTGTTCTCTGTTGCCACACCGCCCTGCTCCTTCACACGTGCATGCATTCACGAGCGTGCATACATATGCACACACAGAATTGAGACTCCTTTGGTAGGTGAGAGACATGAAATGCCATCGTTTACTCTTTCAGTCTATTATACTTTGAGAGGCTAGGAAAGTATGAGCAGCTATGAAAAACTAGACAACTGTTTTTTAAAATCTGCAAACCTGCCACCCAAAGTGAACATTACTTTTTTTTTTTTTTTTTTGTGGTACCAGGGATCGAACTCAGGACCTTACACTTGCAAGGCAGGTGCTTATGCCACTGAGCTACCTGCCTGGACCAAGATTACTCTTAATATGTTGCTATATGTTGCTGGGGAGATAGCTCAGTAGAATATGCGCCTGCGTGGCAAGCGCAAGGTCATGAGTCAATCCCCAGTTCCATAAAAAAGGGGCCTGGGGAGATGGCTCAGTAGAATAAGTGATTGCCTGGCAAGCAGAGGGTCCTGAGTTTAATCCCTGGTACTGCAAAAAAAGTTGCTGTATTCACTTCCTGTTTTGTTTTGTGTAACATACATGGAATTCCGTGGTGAGTTTTGCATTGCACCAGACATTTTAATCTTCTGGACATGAAATATTCCTCAAAGGCATTCTTTAAAAAACATTTTGTTGTCAGGCATGATGTAATCAGCTGTGATCCTGCACTCTGGGATGCTGAGGCAAGAGTATCGCTGGGAGTTGCCAGCATGTGCTACATAGTGAGCTCAAGGCAGCCTGCACTGCATAGAGAGACCCTGTCTGAAATAGCCAAACATTTTTGACATATGAGATGAATAGAGGGGCCGGGGAGATAGCTCAGTAGAATAAGTGCTGCCTGGCAAGCGCGAGGGCCTGAGTTCAATCCCTGGTTCCGCAAAAAAAAAAAAAAAAAAAAAAAAAAGATAAAACAGATTCCAATTTTGCTATGATGTTGTGATTTCGTGTCTTTTTTTTTTCCCTTTGCACTGTCTAAATTGTCTGGCTGGTCTTGCCCTTGTGATCCTCTGGCCTTTTGCCTACCAAGAGGCTGGGATGGGCATGTGCCACAGTGTGCAGCCGGCTCATTCGCTTGCTTGCTTTGCCCTCTCTCTCCTTCCTTCCTCCTTCCCTCCCTCTTCTTCCCTCCCTCCCTCCCTCCCTCCCTCCCTTCCTTCCTCCCTCCCTCTTCCCTCCCTTCCTCCCTCTCCTTCCTTCCTTCCTCCCTCTTCCCTCCCTTCCTCCCTCTCTCCTTCTTCCTTCCTCCCTCCCTCCCTTTCCTCCCTCCTCTGTTCTCTCTTGAGGCAGGCCTGCGCATACTCCTGCCACACCAGCTGGAGGCAGATGTTGAATGCTGGACACCCGTGCCCACCTCTGCGGGCCCCTTTGCCTCTCTGTCCTGGGGTGACCTCTGTTTTGGGGGCCGACACAGAGTCTCCCGCCTTCGGCAGCATCTTAGTCCTGCAAGTGGCTGTATTTCTCGGTGCCCCTGATTTCTGTAACCAGCCCCTTCACACTGGGCATTTGGGGTGCCGCCCAGTTTTTGTTCCATGGTGAAGGTCGAGGTTGAACAGCAGCCTACGAAGACGTTTCTGTTCAAATGTCTCTGGTTATTTTCTTTAAAAGATTTTAAGCCGGGCGTGGCAGCACATACTTGTAATGCCAGCACGGGGAGGCTGAGGCAGGAGGCTCACTGTGAGTTTGAGGTCAGCCTGGCCTACATGGGCAGATCCCATCTCAAAACAGATTTCTTTCCTTAGTTGCGTGATTGCAGTAGATCCTGATCCGTTCCTCGTGGGGTGGCACACCCCCGCAGCACGTCTTCATTCTACCCTCCTGTGCTCTCTCCTCCGCCTCTTGCTTGGTTACTTCCTCAGTATAAGCTCCTGGACATGTTTGCACAGGCTAAAGGAGCACGAACATCTTGTAGCTTCTGCCATCCGTCCCTGAAATACCTTCAGAAAGTTACGTTTGTCCGTCAGCGAGGTGTCCATTTCACTGTGATCTGCCAACTTCTTTTTCTTGTGTTTTTGATTTTTTGTCTTTTTGAGACCTGGTCTCACTGAGTAGCCCAGACTGGCAGCAAACGTGTTGATCCTCCTGTCTCAGCCTCCCAAGTACTGAGATTACAGGTGTGGGGCACCACGTCTGCATTTTTTTGTTAGATTTGAAAATTATTAGTGTGTGTTTATAGTACATAATGCTGCCAGGCATGGTGGCACACGTCTGTAGGCCCAGCACTTGGGAGGCTGAGGCAGGAGGATCACTAGGAGTTTGAGGCCAGCCTGGACTGCTACGAAGTATTTCAAGGCCAGCCTGAACTGCATAGTGATCCCCTGTCTCAAAAAGACAGAAAAACAACAAAAACTTGGTACATAATGCTTCCGCTTATCTTGGGGAGGAGACACATGTACTTAATGCACCATAGTTCTTTTATTCTTCCCCTCCCCTCTGTCCCAAATGGGGGTGCAAATGCCATGTGCTCTTGTCACAGTCACAGATGGGCATCGTTTTAGGTGGCAGCTACTGTACGCTGCATAGAGCCCATTGTGGATAAGGGGTAAATTAGCGGGCAGTTAATAGCAATGACAGCCTTCCTGTGCTGCCTGGCCCCACACCTGGGGAAGATCCTTAGGTCGCGCGCGCACGCACGCACGCACGCACGCACGCCCGCCCGCCTTTTCCTCCTGCTGCCGCCCCTTGAAGGTCCTGCGCAGCCTGGAGCGGCCGCAGCTGGAGCCAGGGACCTGGTTGGTCAGCTCCTTGCCTCCTCGCCATCTCGTAACCCTTGTCCTTCCATCCAGGCCTCTCTCTGTTTCTGAGACACCCTCTCACTGTGTATCCTAGGCTGGTCTTGTGCTTGGGGCAGTCAGCCTCTGCTGCCGGCGCCACCACACCTAGCTTCCCTCTGGGCTTTGTAAAAAACAACCATAGTGGTCCATTGTAGATAGACACAGTGATCACCTTCCTCACGGAGATCTGTACCAGCTGTGGTGCGTCTTGCTTCGCTTTTCCCCAACCCCCCTTCCCCTCTGGGCTTTGAGGTCCCACGCCCAGCAGTGTGCCGTGTCGGGCCTCTGATACAGGTGACACTGTGATTGTACCTCGGGCTCCTGTACTTACAGCCTTTACAGTCTGCTGAGAAGTTCAGTTGCCTCAGAGTGCAGGCTTCCAGCCAGACTCCGCCTCAGCCATAAACCCTGACCTGGGTAAGCCAAGGGTGCGGAGGAGACGGGACAACTCGGAGTGCTGCCCTCCTGGAGGACTTCCTGGCCTTCCCTGCCTGGCCTGAGCCAGGGCCAAATGCTGATCACTCTCTTTTTATTGCAAAGTGGGAAGAGCACTCTAGAGTGGGCTCTTGTGGTCGTGTGCAACAGTGGGAGCTGAGACTGCGTGGAGCTGCGTAGTGAGACCCTGTACCAAATACGTAAATTAAAAGTGGGAGCCATAGGCAGGCCTATAGCTGAGACAGGGGATCACAAGTTCAGACCCTACTTGATCAATTTAAAGATTCAGCAGAACTCTTGGGGAAAAAAAAAAGCTCACTCCTCTGTCCAGCATCGTGCAGGACCCTCTTCCTCTGGGAGACCCTATGGCTGATTCGGCCGCAAATAGCTGAGAACTGGCTCCCTGTCCACCTCCCAGGCCTGAGCACTGCACAGGTCTGAGAGGTGCCTTCCCTGCAGGTACCTGAAGCACACACTGGACCAGTACGTGGAGAGCGACTACACACTCCTCTACCTGCACCATGGCCTGACTAGCGACAACAAGCCCTCGCTCAGCTGGCTGCGTGATGCCTATCGGGAGTTTGACCGCAAGTGGGTGGGGGCCGGGGCCTGGGTCTTGCTGGTGGCTGGTGCCCGCCTGTGTACACAAAAAAATCTGAAATAGGGAGGGGTTTCCATGCAATTCCAGTTCCTCTGCATGTTTGCTCTGTGACCTTTCTTGTCACTTAACCTCTCTGAGAATGGGGTGACCAGCTCTAAGCTGGGTATGGTGGCACACACCTGCAATACTGACACTCTGGAGGCTGAGGCAGGAGGATCGCTGTGACTTTGAGGCTAGCCTGGGCTACATAGCCAGACCTTGCTTAAAAAAAAAAAAAAAAAAAAGACAAAGCATTGGGGCTGCCCTCCCCTCCCCCTCTCAGCTCCTCACCACCCCGCAGGTACAAGAAGAACATCAAAGCCCTCTACATTGTGCACCCCACCATGTTCATCAAGACCCTGCTCATCCTCTTCAAGCCCCTCATTAGGTAAGTGGCCAGGGTGGGCAGGCAGTGCCCCCAGGTGGCTCCCACCTCCTGAGCAGGCCCCCAACCAGGCCTTTGCTCCCGCACAGCTTCAAGTTCGGCCGAAAGATCTTCTACGTGAACTACCTGAGCGAGCTCGGAGAGCATGTGAAGCTGCAGCAGCTGGGGATCCCTCGCCAAGTGCTCAAGTGAGGGTGCACCGCGGACTGTGGGGGCATGGCACCGCGCATTCACGGCTCCGTGTCCTTTTGGGGTTTTGGTTTTTTTCCATTTTTGAGACAGGACCTCACTGTACATATGTATGTATCCAGGCTGGCCTCCAGCTTGCCGTGATCCTCCCATCTTGGCCTCCCGTGAGCTGGGATGACCACGTAGCACATAGGTCAGACAGCAGTATCAGGCCCCATGTCTGTTACAGCCATGTGACTGAATCCTTTCGTGCAGTGGGGGTTGAAGGCCAGCCCTGTGCTCCTGTGACACAGGCGAGCACCCTACTGCTGAGTGACAGCCCAGTCCCTGTGACCAGGTCCTGTAGAGTTCGTTCTCTTGTGTAAAGCATGAAGTAGGGTGTTTGAGGGTCGATGTGGAAACCCATGTAAACCTACAGAGGAAAGGCCCAGTAGAGTGGGCTGGACATGGCTCTGATGTGCACCTGTCCGCCCCAGGTACGATGACTTCCTCAAGTCCACGCAGAAGAGCCCCGCGACGGCCCCCAAGGCCATGCCTCCCCGGCCGCCCCTGCCCAACCAGCAGTTTGGGGTCTCATTGCAGCAGTGAGTATGGGAGGTGGGCGGCCGGGGCGCGGGCCAGGCCAGCTGCAGCTGCTCATGGCCCTGGTCCTCAGGCTGCAGGAGAAGAACCCAGAGCAGCCCATTCCCATCGTGCTCAGGGACACCGTCGCCTACCTGCAGGCCCACGGTGAGTGTGGGACCTGGCTGCCCTAGGGACGCAGCCGGCCCAGCCAGAGCCCGGCTCACTGCCCACTGTCCGCAGCTCTCAGCACCGAGGGCATCTTCCGGAGGTCTGCCAACACCCAGGTGGTACGCGAGGTGCAGCACAAGTACAACATGGGTGAGTGAGCAAGTGGCCCAGGCCCTGCCTACGTGCGGGAAGGCAGCCGCATGACCCTCGGGGCCTCTCTGCCACCTGGAGAAGGGGGCCCTGCATTCCTTGCTGTCAGAGGTGTCGATACTGTGCAGTGGCATCACGCCATCCCCACTGCTGCCATTCGGCTCGTGGGTCTAGCCCACCTTCTGGGTCCCAGAGGCTGTGGGAGGCGGACAGCACGGAGCCCAGGGCTGTGGAGGGGCCCGTGGGACCACCCGCCTGCTCCCTCGCAGGGCTGGCTGTGGACTTTGACCAGTACAATGAGCTGCACCTGCCGGCTGTCATCCTAAAGACCTTTCTGCGGGAGCTGCCTGAGCCCCTGCTGACCTTTGACCTGTACCCCCACGTGGTGGGCTTCCTCGGTGAGTGTCCCCTTCCTCCCAGTCATTCCTGCCCTGCTGGCCATCTCTGCTGCCCCTGAGGCCTGAGCCCCATTCCTCGTAGACATGGAGGAGAGGCAGAGGGTGGAGGCCACGGAGCAGGTGCTCCGGACGCTACCCGAGGAGAACTACCAGGTGCTTCGCTTCCTGACCACCTTCCTAGTGCAGGTGAGGCTTTGGCCCAGCACACCTGGGGACAAGTGGGGTGGCGTTGCCCCTGCTGCTCCAGATGCAGCTGCCTTGAGTCGGGGTGCCGTGGCTCTGCCTTCCTTCTGCAGCTTTCACTTTCTCCCCAGGTTTCTGCTCACCAGGACCAAAACAAGATGACCAACACCAACCTGGCTGTCGTCTTTGGCCCCAACCTGCTGTGGGCCAAGGATGCCGCCATCACCCTCAAGGCCATTAACCCCATCAACACCTTCACCAAGTTCCTCCTGGACCACCAAGCGGAGCTGTTCCCTGGCCCCAACTCCCCTGGGCTCTGAGCCCAGCCCCATGCTGGCCCTTCTCTGGCAACCCATCGGACCCCTCCTCCTGGCTTCTGCGGTGGGAGAGCTGGGGTGCCTGCTGGGTTGGGCTGTGGAGGCCAGGTGGGCAGCTGAGTGCGGTGGTGGGATGGCCACTGGCTGCCGGCCAGCTGCCCACTCCAGCAGCCTCTGGTCTCCAAGACATTCGTCTTCGCCTTATATTTTCCACTGCCTCTCTGGGTGCCTGGCTCCTGCGGGTCGTGGCTCTTCCATTTGGAGGACTGAATCTCAGTAACCCCTTTTCTGCTTTTTCCTGCTTCTGTCTCCCTGGCAGCAGTGGGTGACCCAGACTCCTGCCAGCTGGCCAGGGCCAGTCCTTCTTTTCCTATGGCTGCAGAATGAACAGCCAAACTCCAAGGCCTGGCCTGCCATGCCCAGGAGCCTCCCTGTAAGGTCCAGTTGCTCTGCCCCTGGGAAGCCCTGTGACAGTGGGGCATGGGAGCAGCCCTGCCTGCTCTGTCCACACAGTTCAGCCCTTGGCCCTTTGCAGCTGAGGAATGCCAGGCTATAGTCGGCTTCCTGGTTTCTGCCTCTGGTTCCCCCTTTCCCAAGTGGCACTGCCCCCCAGGGTTCCTAACCCCCTGGATCTGCTAGCACTGGTAGCTCAGATGTGGGACCCAGGATCCTCGGGCCCACTGGGTATAGCCACACTCCCATCCATGGTAGCTTCTCCAACAAGGAGACCTCAGCACAGTGCCCATGAGAGGGACAGAGATTTTGCCAATAGACCAGTCCCTGCAAGGAGTCTTAGCAATGTCCTCAAGGGAACCTGGTGCCTGTCATTGTCTTCAGAAAGCCTGGGTTCTGACGATGGTTGACATTCCTCATTTCTCCCCGGGACCTCTCCCTGTAGCGGGGACTACCAAAGTGACCCTGTGCTCACTGTGGGAGCTGAGCAGGACAGGCACCTCAAGCCTGTACTGAGGGATGTTCCCAGACCGACCAGTGGGCTGGTTCCCTTGTTCCTGTGTCCAGGCCTGGCCTGACCTCAGCTCCCTGTCGCCTTTGTATATCGTGTTGCTCACAGCCCCATTTCCTGGGGAGCCTTTGGAATCTTCTGTCCCCTGCCCCACTGGAGTGTTCTGGGGGCAGTGGAACTGTGAATCGAGTGTTCACATCCACACCTAATGACCTAATGACGTCCTTGGCACCAATCGTGTATTTCACCGTTTGCACTTTTTTGTATTTCAATAAAAATGGAAAATTCCCATCCAGCTGTTCCAGAAGTAAGACCTCCAGGTTGAGAATAGGGTGGGAGGCATCCTGCAATTGAGTCTACCTGTCACTGCCTCCTCTGGGTCATTTGTGACCAGGTCACAGGACAGATGTTGGACCAGCTTCTTGGAGTGGTGACTGTTACCTTCCCACACTTTTGTACCACACATTCTGCCTCCTCTGCTATAGTCAGAGTTTGCACGGGAAATAAGACCTAATTTCTAGGAATTTTTTTTCTTTTGCGGAACCAGGGATTGAACTCAGGCCCTTGCGCTTGCCAGGGAAGCACTTATTCCACTGAGCCATCTCCCCAGCCCCAATTTCTAGGATTATAATATTCAAAGAGGCAAATGTAGGACAGGGGACATAATGGCACAACGCATGCCTGTAAACCCAAGGTCCTCAGTTCCTTTTTTCATTTTGAGACAGGATCTCACTATGCAGCTCAGGCTGGCCTTGAGCTCAGTTTGGAGCTAGGCTGGTCTCAAACTCAATTGGATCCTCCTACCTTAGCCTGTGGAGAGCTGGAATTGCAGGCATGTATGCCCAGCCTGTGCTCAATTTCTGGTACCAAAAAAAAAGCGCAGATCTGTCTACACACTAGAGACACCCAGAATCCAGCTGAGGGCCTGGATTCCACAGCAGTGTCCTACACGAGTCCACCTAGAGGCCTGGAGCCCACAGCAGTACCAGGTAAATCTGTACCAAGGATCTGCACTGGGAAGGCCCCAAGGTCAGCCGTGGGAGCTGAACAGTCCGTGCCAGCGCATTGATCTGCACTGGGGCCAAGGAAAGGACCTGAGTGCCCCTGCAAAGTGCCGCAGCCATCCTCCTAAGCCAGAAGTTTCCTTTAATGGTTTGTCCGGGGGTGAAGGGTAGGAGGATGGCTCCTGGCACAGAGCTTAGGTCAAGGTCCAGGTGTGCTGTGTGCCTTCCAGGTGCAGCCAGGAGGCTATGGTGGCCCGAACGGGCCTGTTTTCTCCTCCTCCTCACTTGGTGGGAGCAGGTGGCGTCTGGCCCTGAGCTCCAGGAGTCATGTACTGTACACCTGTGGCCTCTCCAGCAGCTGGGGCAAGAGGCCCTGGCAACTCCAAGCTGGGTGACAGGCAGGAGGGGGTGGTCCAGAAGAGGAGAGCGGTTTACTTGGTTCTGTCGTCAGCAACAGTGGGTCTCAGGTGGAGTACAGGCAGTGTCACAGGGCAGCTGAACACAGCTCAGTGAGGATCCCCACAGGAGGGGGTCACCAGGAAGTCCTGCCACCATTTCTCGCCCACGGGTGGACAAGGGTGACAGCTGGCAGTAAGGTCCACTGTCATGGGCAGCGTCCCAGGCCACCCACAGCAAGTGCACCTCCCATCTGTTCCGGGCTCCCCTTCCATTCCCTCATTTTGCCCAGCCACAACTGTCACTCCAACAACTGCCCTTCAGGCCAGCGTAAAGAACTGGGGACCAGCGAGACATGGCTGTCCCTCTAGTCCTAGCGCTCAGGAAGGCTGAGGCAGGAGGACTCCAAGTTTGAGCCCAGCCCAGAATACCTAGCAAGTTACTGTCAGCCCACCTTAAAACATGAACAAAATTCAAAGTGGGTATGGGATGTAGCTCAGAGTGAAGGCCCTGAGATCAGTACCTAGTTTAAAAAAAAAAAAAAAAATTGCTATGAGCACATGTCCTACACTTGCCTCACTGCTCTGAGCATACGAGGCTCCTGACCAGGAAGTGTCCTGACCACCCGCACTGCCTGACCTCAGAGCCCTTCTTGCCCCTTCCATGAGGCCTGGTGGGGACTCTGGGCTGGGCTAGGTGTTCGGACGGCCTAATGATATGAAGCCTTAAAGTACAGAAAAACCTTTATTGGAAATCTCTGAATAGTCTGAAGTGTAGCTCAGTCACTTCCGGAGGCAGCTGGAGGGGGAGCTGAGCCGCCTGGAGACCATGGCTGTTCCCCACCTGGACAGGCGCATCGCTGTGGGCGAGGGCCAGCCTTGATGTCCCTTTGCTCCTCCCTGCCCAGCTTGCAGTCAGGGCTTGGCCTCCCTGGCCTCTTCCCAGGCAGGGAGCTACAGCAAGGCTGGGGACTGCAGGGGCCCCGATCAGGGTGGCCAAAGACTGTCATGGACAGCAGGACCAGGCTTTTCATGCAGGACTCGGGCAGAAGGTGCCGTAGCTGTGAAGTCTTGGGTTCCACAGCCACAGATGCACCCTGGCCGAGGCAGGAGGGCCAGCTGGCTACCCTGAGGGGGCTTCCCCCTGGCAGCAGAAGCAGGCGCCAGCTCCACCTCAGCTCAGGGCCAGCCTTGAGGGCAGGAACGGTGTCACATGCAGTTTACTAACAAGCAATCCAGGGCCACCTGCCCCACTGAAGAACAGCTGCTGCCAGGCACCTGGCCATGAGACCAGGCAGGCTGGAGAGCAGGCGACAAGGCACCTGGCCCACTCAGGTGGTGCTTGAAGGGGAACAGTCAGCTGCAGCCCAGCTGTGGTTTCTCAACAGGGAATTAGCCCAGGGCAGTCACACCGTGGATTCCAGGAGGCAGCAGTCAGGCCCAAGCGCTGGAGGAGCAGAAGGTGCGCTAGCCGGAGGCGCACACATGCCCTGGGTATTGCAGGTGGCCAGAGTCTGGGGGTCCTCACATTAGCACCCAAGACCTCCTTGGCTGCCGGAACTGACACAGCTGCTGTGCAGGAGCTGAGGACGGCTCTTAGCAGTGTACCGCACCCAGCCGGGCTGCAGTGGTCCTGACCTGGGGCTGCTCTGCTCCCCACCGGCCAGCTCTTGGCTCCTGCCCCACACGAAGGCGCAGGCACAGGCGCAGGAAGACCCTAAAGCATCAGCCCAGGTTCTGGGGATGAACATGAGTGGCAGGCCTCCACCCCAGGAAGAAATTAGTCACCTCCAGTGGGTTTTCTCTACAAAATATCTGATTTCTCTGCAAGTAATAAATATTTACCATTCCTATAACCAAAAGCAGCAAAGGGGAGGAAGGGGAACGACCTTCACTGGGACTCTGAATGACAGAATCCTGGAGATGCAGGATTCAGAGCTGAAGGGCTGGGCACAGGCAGCCGCCAGGGCTGCACAGACCCCTAGGAGGGACATCCCAGGTGTGGCTGGCACTGGCGAGGTTACTGTGGACAGACAGGCCATCCTATTGTCAAGAACAGGCACGGGGCAGAGAGCAAGAGAAAGCCGGCCCTGGGAATTGGGGAGACGCAGAGAGCCCTGGGGCTCCTCTTCCTCCCAGCACTGCCCACTTCCTCTTTCTGCCTGGGCTGCTGTCTCAGCCACCAGTGGGAATGTCAAGTGGTTGACGACCAGGACAGGCAGGCAGGAGGCAGAAAGGGACAACACCCTTTGTGACACAGTTGGCACAGGTGAGGTGCACAGATGGCCCTGCTGCGGCCCTTGTTACAAAGGGTCTTCCTTCTCCAAGGCCAGTGGGTGTCTTGGGTCACCCCGCAGAACCGTCCTGCCGAGCACTGGGAGGGACAGGAGTGGCTCTGGCCCCCAGGGACCACAGAAAGGGGATGCTGCTGGTACTGGAGGCTACTTTTACTGCAGGGTTTCCACAAAGGCATCAAATTCTCGAACATTCTTTTCGTGCACAGCCAGCTTCTCAGGCAAGGAGTCCTGTTGGGGAGAAGAGGAGACCTGCTTATTTGGGCCACTGACCCAGCCCCCAGGGATAGAGGTAGGGCCCCAGGCAGGTCAGCTGCATGGGCACCGGGACAGGGAGGAACACATCCATCTGGCTGGTACATGGACTAGGTATCCTGACACACAACGTCAGGGGAGGCAGACCATGCCAAGAACTGCTCAGCACAGAGACTAACACAAAATATCCAGGGCACGCCTCAGACCCAAACTAGGCAACACGTACGTTTACAGCTCTCCGAAGGAGGCAAAACTCCCTTACGCTCTTTTCTAACACCCAGAAGAGGAACAGGACAGCCACGTGAGCAGGGCTGGGCAGACTGGGCACCTGAACCTTCACACAAGCCTCGGGCGTGAGAGTGACAGCACCTAACAGTGGCAGTAGGACAGGGGACAGTGGGTGACAGAAAGGACATGGAGACTTGTGGCCCAGACACCAAGGCCAGGCAAGGCACTCACTGCTCCTGGCTGAGGACACAATGAGCACAGGACCCATGTCCTCCTGCATGTGTGTCACATGCTAGGCTGGACAGTCTGGCCAAGTGTAAGAAGAGAGGGGCTCCGAGCAAAGGGCAAGAACAGACACGAGGCCGTGAGTGCCTCTGCCCTGCACCATGGGCACCTGGCCAGCAGGCGACAAAGCTGCATACCACAGCCACGGAACAGGAGTGTGCAGGTCACACTGAAAACATGCAGAAGAGAAAAGGAACAGCGCAAGCCAACTCAGGCTGACAACTGCGTGGCACCAGGAGAATCTCAAGAGTGACCAGAAGAAGACAGTGATCTGTTTCACAGGTCTCCTTCCTGTGACAGGGATGTTAGGAACAGCAGAAATGTCTGGCCAAGGCACAGAAGTGACCAGAGAAACGGGCAGGAGAGGTGTCCGTACCAAGTCCTCTGCCATGGACTGCGCTCCAATATCTATGGAGAGGCTGCTCAGTTGAGGGGGGTTCTGGAACTCACGATAGAAGGTCCCCAAGTCCATTGGCAAGATGTCATCTTTAGAAAAAGCCGGTTTCTTCAAAACAAGACACTCAGTTTAGCTTGCTTTGGAGCATAAAGGAAAATCAAAAATAAACTGCAAACAAGTCTGTTTCCTTCCCAGGACTCTCCACAAAAAGATGGTTCTGGGCTCACTTGGGGGAGGAGACTTTTTACACCTTGCCCTTCTAGACTGTTGGCCTCTCATCCTGGAGTGTGGTGCCTTCCCTAGTGAGCTTTCTGTCCTCTTATTTTTTATTTTTATTTTTTTTTACATCCTCAAAATCCCATGTTTATTACAAAGGCTCTGTCCTCTTATTTATTTATTTTTTATTTATTTGTTTATTTATTTTGTGTGTGTGTGTGTGTGTGTGTGGCCAGCTCAGCCCACCAGGGGGCGGGGCTGGCTGGCATGTGGTACTGGGGGATTGAACCGTGGTCTCTGTGCTTTGCTTAGCTTAGCTTGTTCTAAGTAGGTGCTTTAGACCACTGAGCCATCTCACCAGCCCCTGTCCTCTTATTTAAACACCTTTCCTAAGCAAAAGGCCACCCGTTCAGGCATGAACAGTACCCCAGTGGAAATCACTGGAAAATCTCCATTGCGAGCTGAACACTCGGGGCCTGTCATTGCTAGCCCTGCCCCTGGGGAGCGCTGAGCCCTGCAATTGAGACTGGGCATGATGGCGTGCGCCTGTAATCCCAGCCCTTGGGAGGTCATAAACAGGTGGATCATTACAAGTCCAATCTATGCAGTGAGACCCTGTACACCCTGTACTAAATACAAAGAAAAAAAAAAAAAGAGCTGAACACTAAGCAGACACAACAGGAAATGCCTTACTATTCCCAAGTCCCCACGGTCTCCCCAGACGCGAGCAGGGCAGCGTCCCACTACATCCTCAGCTGCACGGCCCAGCCCATCCCGAGGGAATTCAGGCCAACAGAGGCCTCCAGCTTTAACATCCCTGGAGCAGCAGTCAACTTACAAAGTCAATCATGACAAAGTCATCGTGGGGGTTGCTGCTGCTGCCCCCGCTGGAGCCCTCGGAGTGCAGGCTGCCATGGAGCGGGGAGGCGGCCTCCGGCGAGTCTGGAGGGTTCACCTGGCGTGGGAGAGGCAGTCAGGACAGAGGTGGTGCACAGGGTGCCTACAGCAGGGTGCCTGTCCCTGCTCACGCCTGCGGGCTGTGTGGAGCCTGGTGCTGCCAGGCTCCAGGTCCTGGGAGGGGGATGATGACCGCAGCACCTACGCAATGCTGACCATCACGGCGCACTCACCATCGGGTCAGTGTCCTGCAGCTCCAAGCTCTTGGGAGCAAACATGGCAAAGGGTATGTCCAAGCTTGTCAGGGTCACCTAAGGAGCCACAGGAGAAGCGCTCATGCCTGGCTCTCCCCTCCCCTGCCAGCAGCCAGGGGTGTCACCCACACACACCTGGGCTGACTGCGTGGTCCCTGCCACCCCATTCCCTACCACTAACATGCACAGTGCACATGGAGCTGGCACAGGGGCAGCTTTGGGCTCACAACACAACACACACTGCCTAAGGTAGCTGCCCTTGGGCCTAACAGAACAGCAGAGTCCTACCTGGTTAACAGGCTTGTTCACGAAAGCCCCAACTTTCCGGACAAAGATGGTCTCCAGGACATCGTGGGGGGAGGCCCGGCCCTCACTGCTGTTGGACACGGTTTCAGTGCCCTCACTAGAGGAGAAAGGAAAGTGGATGCCCACCCAAGCCACGGCATGGTCACCCACATCTCCAAGTGCACCCCTCATGCAAAAATTAGCCCCAAGCCATCCCCATGGGACAGAGGACCAGGGTACGGCTGCCGTCACTGCACTGTCTCATGAGCTGACAGCAGAGGACAGCAGGGGACATGTGTGGAACTCATAGCTGAGGGTATGCTTGGACATACCCTTTGCCATGTTTGCTCCCATACCCAAGACTATGTACATAGTGCCCACAGATCAGGCCAAGTAACCTCAAACAGTGGCAGCCGTAGTACTGGGATGCAGCGGACCCCACAGTTCAGCTTGCCTTACTTCATTATCTAAGGTCACCACAAGACCAGGTACCGTCCTACACAATGTCACCCATGTCTCACTTTGCAAGGGACAATGGCACCACACAGAGTCCAGCAGCACTCCTGTTAGGAACCCTGCACCTGCGCCCACCCTGTGCTTCCTCCCATATTCTTGCACTATCAGGCCCCTACTCTAAAGGCCCTAAGTGACAGGCCAGCAGCCCACTTCTGCTGCACCTGACACACACACCCTGGGTCCCGATCTGGGCCTACAGTGGCTGCCAGCCCCATGGGTACACAGCCATGCACAGCAGAGGACTAGAAAGGTTGTGGGTCAGCCACAGGGACTCTAGTTAAAAAGGGGACTTTCGGAGTGACTGTTAGCAGGAATAGAGACAGGACAGGGACAGGCACTAGGCCAGGCTTTGGTGTGCTTGGGACCTGCATTTAACCCTAATCTGAGCCTGCAGGGTTCTCTGCCATTAGCTACTCCTGGATGTGGGGGCCAATGTTCAGAAAACTGCAGTGTAAAATGATGGACTGATCTTCCTTTGATCATCCAACCGTGGTGGCGAGGGAAAAAGGATGGAGTCTGAAAAACCAGGAATTTCCTAAAGAATCACCCCCAAACATCTTCCTGATTACCCTCCGGGCACCCTCCAGTGGCACTGGAAGAGACCCAAGGATGCCTACGAGACTGTTCATCCGGCAGCGGCGAGCCCATGGCATGCATGCCGAAGCTGGCTGGCTGTTCTCACTGAAGGCTCTAAAAGGTTCAACAGCTCTGTTGGGTGGGCAGGCAAGCTTGTTATCTCCTGGGTCATCCTACTGCGAGAGCAGAGATCAGGCCAGGGAGCGCTCTGGAGCACTCAGAAGAAGGGGCAGGTGCTCTGGCGTCGAGGCGCACCCGTATCCCACCTGTGTTCTGCACCAGGCAACTGCTGGCCAGTCGCTCCCTACACTGCTTTGTGGTAAACTCAGGGCCAAATACGTACTAGGTACGTGACCTACTATGGAGCTCATCCTAATCCTGTCATCTTATAAAAAAAGGTGACAAGAGTGACATGTTTGCTTCAGACAGGTCTATGTAGTCCAGGCTGGCCTTGAACTCACAGCAATACTCCTGCCTCAGCCTCCCAAGCATGGGGATTACAAGTATGCGCCACCACATCTGGCCCCACCACACCTGGCCAAGAGTGGTGACTTTTGCAAGGTAGAAATGCAAACTATTACTTTCTATGTAACTATTTGTCATTTGAATTTCATAGAATGTACTTTCTCACCATGTCCAGATTTAATTTCTTCTTTAAATCTTTTTTTTTTTTTTTAACATTTTTATTTGTGTGTGTGTGTGTGTGTGTGTGTGTGTGTGTGTGTGGCCAGCTCAGCCCACCAGGGGGCGGGGGTGGGCTGGCATGTGGTGCTGGGGGATTGAACCATGGTCCCTGTGCTTTGCCAAGCTTGTTCCAAGTAGGTGCTTTAGACCACTGAGCCATCTCACCAGCCCCATAAATTCTTCTTTAAATGAGAAAAAAATGAGCGTTTCCATAGAATGTCAGTGAGGCTCTAATTCAGCAGCATGGCAAAATCCCACCCACAGGTGCACCGCGGCCCCAGGATGCAGGGGGTGGTAAACACCCGTTTTGGTCCTGCTGCCTAGGAGCCTGGAGTAAGAGAGAACACCTGACAGTCTCTACTGGGTAAGTGACAAACAAGCCTGGGCCAGCTGGTGGGGCTTCTTCACACGCCGGCTGGCCTGCCCGCCCGATGCAAGGGAAGGCCCCGAGGGTTTTCAGGAGTCTGTTGCACTCCGTGGGGACCCACCTGCTGGAGGGTGTGGCGGCACAGTGGGCCCCATCTGAAGGGCTGTGGGTCCCCAGTCTCTCTTGATCTGCCTGGGCGCCGTGGGCAGGCTGGCTGGGGGCGATGGGCACCCCCCCTTCCTTCCCAGGAACCATTAGCTGTGGGGGAAATGGAAAGAGAGAGAGATATATATATGAATGACAGCAGCGCCAGGCAACAGGGGACCCTCAGGCCTGGCTTGGTGGTGCCTGCTTCTGGCCTTCCTGCACCAAGACCAGCACCAGGTGGGCAGGCATCCTTATCCTCTAGGACTTGAGTGCTGGCAGACATGCACAGTGATAACTACAGAGGGACAGGACAGGCAGGGGAGGCCGCCCGCCCGGCAGCCCACATCCCGAGCTGGAGGTACCTGGTGAGGGTGCGGCGCATTTAGACCAGCAGCGAACACTACTGGGTAAGCCAGGTCAGTGGATCCGAGGCCCAGGACAGCAGGCTGATAGGAAAGGCGAGAGCTTGAGAGCTGAGCGAGAGAAAAACAGAGGGGAAGAGGAGAGGCAGGAAAACACAGGCCATGGACGGGACAGACGATCTCAGGAGAGGGAAGGAATGGATCCCTGCCCCGGCCCAGACAGAGGGCCATGGGATATGGCTGGCCAGGCCTCTAGACCCCCTTGCAGATGAGAAGCGCGGAGACTGCCTGTGCTGGGCCGGGAGCCCTGGCTCCAAGCCTTCGGAGGCCTCAAATGAACTCCTGGCTGCCCCTCCCCTGGGGCACAGCTAATGCTCCTCTGAGCCCAGCAGATACGTGGGCCACAACCCGGGCACAACTTGCAGCCAAAGTCATCAGTTTTTCCAGAGCCATTCTATTTTCCCCGCTGTCCTTGAGGTCCCTTTGGAACAGAAGGCTGCCCTTCCTAATCACACCCTCCATCACCCCGGGTAAGGAGGCTCCTATTTATACTGCAAAAGGAAAGGCCAGTCTTGAATTATTTGGAAAATTGATATAAATAACTCCATGTATCTTTCACATAACAGGAGGGACAAATGCAAAGCCCTATTTTGGGCTTCAGGGCTATGGCGGTGTTCTGCTAGCCTCAGTTCGGCAGTCTGGGATGCTCCCCAGAACACCTGGGGCTGCTTAGACCTCTACGCCCTCGGCTTGGTCTCACAGTGAGACCGAAAGATGCTGTCTGTCCAATCCCCTTCCGCCCGTGAACTCACTTGATGGGAAAAGGCCAGTCCTGCCATGGGAACCCTCAGAGTGTCCGTCACCACAGGAGTAGGGGTCTGAAAATGTGCCTTTGTGACAGTAAACACACACTGTGCACAGACACACACAGAGACAGGAACACAAGAGAAGAAAAAGAAAAGGGACTTGAGAAAGACATGAAATAACCTCTGGGTGCAGCAGGGAGGCTGGAGGGATAGCGTGGCCCGGGTGCTCTGGATCCCAAGGGAGAGCATTGAGGGCGACAAGTATCACAGGGTGCACCCTATGCGCCTGTCTCCCCAAGGAGCACGAGCAGCAGGGAGAGAAGCAGGCTCGAGTAGGTTTGACCTGGCAAAGCAAGGAAGCCTGCTGTGAGCACTAGTGTGCTGGGAGCGGGCAGGATGCAAGGGAGCAGAGCGGGGGTGGCCGCAGACAGATGGGGGGCGCTGGGCGGCCTGTGCCAACCTAGGGGAGGTGAGGGTAAGAGGGGAGCATGCATTCGAATCCCCGATGGTGGGGGACGATGTGACGCAGAAAGAGCAGGACCCTTTCCGAACTCTTCTGATGCTTTTCTTTTTGAGCCAACATATCACTAGACAGGGCAGGTGAGTCTCAAACTGACCAACCTCCTGCCTCAGCCTCCCAAGTGCTGGGATTACAGGTGTGCACCATCATACCTAGCTCAAAAAACCTTATGATTTCAAAGCTACTTGTGGGAAAGAGGATCGCTTGGGCTCCTGCCCTTCCATCTTTTTTTCAGTACTGGGGATTGAACCCAGGACCCTATGCTTGCCAGGCAAGTGCTTATTGTACTGAGCTGTCTCCCTGGCTCCCCCTTTTTTAAAATGTATTTGGTTGTTACAGGTTCTCATTAATGCCTGGACTCTGGCTCGCTCAGTCTGCCCTGGGGTTGGGGGAGGGGGGAGGCGGTGCAGCATGTGGTGCTGGGGATCGAACCCCGGTCCCTGTGCTTGCCTAAGCAGGCACTTTAACCTGCTGAGTTATCTCACCAGCCCCCTGCCATTCCATTTTTAACTCTTCAAATTTATCAAGCCAATGCTTAGAATCGGATAGACTCCAGGACACAGGAGCAGGTTTAGGTGTGAAAGTACTTCATGTCTCAACTCTGCCCAAACAGTATCATGATCCTTACACTGCCTGCAAAATAAACACGGTGCCGTGTATTTATTTCCTGGAACCTAGCAAGACCTCCCAACTAGTCCCTGGATGGAGTTGAGGAATGAACTATGAAGTGTTAACAGAAACAAGAACGGGCCGGGGAGATGGCTCAGTAGAATAAGTGCTTCCCTGGCAAGCGCAAGGGCCTGAGTTCAATCCCCGGTTCCGCCAAAAATAAAAAGAGAGAACAAGTAGCAAATGATCTCAGCTCTCTCTCTGCTCTTCCATGAAAGTCCGGAAGGGGTATTTCTGAGCCCAACTATTCCAGCCTTGGTCAGAGGGATTTTGGCATGGTACCTAAGAAGTGGCTGCTGGAGGTCAAATGTTAGTGTGATCTAATTTTTGTTTTGGGTTTTGTTTTGCTACATTTTTTGAGACAGGGTCTCACTATATAGTTCAGGCTGGCCAGAACTCAATCTGTAGCCCAGGCTGAGTTCCAACCTGCTCCTCCTGCCTCAGCCTCACCAGGGTCAGCCTCAGCTGGATCACAGGTGTGCGCCACCATGCTCAGCTCTCAGCCCTTTTATTAGGGTCTCGCTAAGACAGCAGGCTGGACTTGGACTTGCGATCCTTCTGCCTCAGTCTTCCTGGCAAGTGGGGTAACAGGCATGCACCAACACGTGCAACTATTGCTCTTGCAACAGTGCAAAGGGCTGGCAAGATGACTCAGTGGACTAAGGGCCTGCTTAGGCAAGCACAGGGACCGGGGTTCAATCCCTGACACCACATGCCAGGCCGGTCCCAGCCCTGGGCACACTGAGCAGGCCACCAAGACGGGGCGTGGTGGCACAAGCCTGTAATCCCAGTGCTGGGGAGGCTGAGACAGGAGGATCACTACAAGTCCAAGCTGCATAGTGAGACCCTGTGCCCAATACATTATAAAAAATAGAAACAGTACAGAACCATGATTTCAATGTGGAACATTCAAAATAACCCAGGATGGGTTATAAATAGTTTATACATTTCCACAATTAAAAATTATGAGTAGGGACAGGGACCAGGGTTCGATCCCCAGTGTGCCCTGCAAGCCTCACCCCTGGGGCATGCTGAGTCAGTGACTGAGACTGGGTGTGGTGGTGTGTGTCTATAATCTCAGCACCTGGGAGGCTGAAACAGGAGGATCACTATAAGTCTGATCTGTGCAGTGAGACCCTGTACTAAAATACAAAAATAAATAAAAAATTAATAAGACTTATGAGTAAATAGGGGAGATAGCTCAGTGGAATAAGTGCTTGCCTGGCAAGTGCAAGGTCCTCAGTTTGATCCCTGGTACAAAAAAAAAAAAAAAAAAAAAAATTATGAGTAAATAGAGAGTTAATTAATTAGTCATACTGACTAAGAAAGCCAAAGGACACCCAAGGGGATGGCTTAAGGAGCAGAACTGAGGCAGGGCCAGAAGAAACCGGCTGATTTCAGAGTCAGAGGAAGGCAGGGAGCAGAGAGGCGAGGGGTGGGGGTGGGAGTGGATGAGGTGCGGAGGGAGCAGCCTGGCGGCCTGAGACTCAGTCAGTAGCAGGAAAGCGGTGCCTGGCAGCGGCGGCCCTGGCCCTGCCTGTGAGATGAGACCAGAAGATGCTTCCTGCGGGGAAACTGCCACATTTTAATGACTGATGAGTGGTTTGATTAATGGTAAGGCTACTGCTTAGAATACTGGGATAGAGAATGCAAGGCAAATGTCTGTGTCATTACAAAAGCTACACACTGCTTTCCTTTCTTTTATTTTTTCCACACTGCTTTCTTAACTGGTTTATTTTTGGCTTTATTTTGGTACTGGTATTGAGATCAAACCTAGTGCGAAATCCCCTGCCTTTTCTTTTTTATTTTAAAATAAGGGTCACACCAAGCCTCTACATTGCTCGCACTGGGCGGGAACTTGGGACCCCCCACTTCAGTCTCCCAGTGCGGCAATTACAGTGTGCGGTGCCATGCCCGCTCTTTACAGGCATTTTCCACTAAATCAGTATTGGCTATTTTGGGGCTCTTTCCATAATTAGAAACCAAATTTACCACTTAAGAGAAGCTTACTAAATCAGCAGGTGTGGGTTACAGAACCTCGCTGGTGTCTGAATCATTTGAATCTGTGACTGATTTTCAAGGGAACTGGAGGCCATCAGCAGGAAGGTAATGACTAAATATAATTCAGTGGGTTAAGATGATTGCGACTAGGATCACTGCAATATGTGTGCTGCGTAAGTCTGTTATTCATCACAACCCCTGAAACAAATCCTCACACAACCAAAGGGACTGCAGTGTAGGAGAACATGGACCCCATGTCCCATGCTCTCCCCTCCAATTAGTAATCACCGGCAACCCAGAACACATCTCCATACCTGTGATGGTGGGGAGGTGGAGAACGACGTGGTACACACTTCCTGAGAGTCTTCCACTGATGGGTACACTCCGCCCACATCCTCACCAGGAGTTCTAAAGGAGAGGACAGAGATGGGGAGCTTTCTGGGTTGGGTAAGGATGGGGTTGTGTCAGGACCTGTTCCAGGTACAGTTTATAATGCCAGATGGCAACCTAGAGAAGTCACTTAATAACGTATCCAGGATAGTCCACAAATTATTGGCACCTTTGTAATCTCCAGTAGCTTGCTATACAGAACATCATTACTATCAAGATGCAAACTGCCCATGTTTTTTGAGACATTCTGTGTTCCCCACACTGTAGTGTGCCAACCAGAGGCAGTGAGAAAGGGAAGCAGCCCCTCCATTTCTTCCGGGGGTAAACGGCCATGCTGGCTCCACTGTGGACTGGGAGGTGCCATCCACGAGCCTCACCTGTAACTGCAGGGGTGTCTGGGAGAGGAGCTGGGGTAGGGGCGGTCCACGAAATGATCAATGATGATCCCCATGATAGGAGGGGTCCTCTCAAATTGCCTAGACAACAAGCAAAATGCAGTTTAAAAGGAAGTGATATGCACTAGGACAATAGGAAAAATGGCTTATGGGCATGTCAGCAAGGCTCAAAATTATAAAGGTGAAAGACTGGGCTTTCACAAGAGAGCACTAGGGTAGTGAATTCTAGAAATGCAGATTCTATCCAGAGTTCAGTCATTCAAGCATTTAGAGGCCTCTGCAGACATGACTCAAGAGGGTCTGGCTGGGGCTGGGGAGATGGTTCAGTGGAATAAGCGCCCTGGCAAGCGCAAGGGACTGAGTTCAATCCCCGGTTCCACAAAAATAAAAAAAAAAGAGGGTCTGGCTATTGGTCAGGCTGACAGCAGTTTAGCATCATCCACCTAGTGCTGGTTTTACAGGCATGCAATATGCAAGCACTAAGAGTACAGTGGAGACCCCAAAAAGCTACAGAAGCCAGGAATGTGGAACATATGGGGAAAGCTACGAAGGATGAGCAAAAAAAAGGATTGAGCAAACCAGCCCAAGAGGGAAGCCATGAGGGCTACAACCACCAGCAATGCTAGAGGACTGGGTCACTTTCTGGCCCTCCTGAAGACCTCAGAGGCCCCTCACTTTCTCCCTGTTGGCCTTAACTACTGCAATCTCCCAGTGTAAGCCAACTCAACACTGTAGTCACGCTGGTTCTGGGACTCTCAAATTCTTCAATCTGACAACAATGGCCTCTTGGGCCAGGGAGATGGCTCAGTGGAATAAGCACTTCCCAGGCAAGAACAAGGGCCTGAGTTCAGTCCCCGGTTCCACACACAGACACACACAGACACACACACACAGACACAGACACAGACACACACACACACAGCCTAACAATGCCCTCTTGCTCGAGAGTTCATTCTTCTAAAGGGGCTGCTTTCAGCACTGGCAAAGCTACACTGTAGATGCTGTCAGGGGCTTGGGGAGGTGGGAGTTCAGCACCCTTGGGAGAGTGCTCTTGAACTCTAAGGCTCCTCACCTGGTAGACATGAATGCTAAGTTGATTCTGTAAGCACAAGAAAGAGTGATGGTGCCCACAGGGGTGCCAACTGTGCCAACGCGAACAGTCTGGAAGCCTAAAGGAGAGACATGATTAGCTTTTTCCAAAGAATGCTTACACTGTCCCTGGCTCTCATTCTGAATCATTCAGCCCGTTGTACACTCGATGGCATTATTCACTTAGCAACAAAAGGGTCACAGACTCAATTGTGTGTGCATGTGAAAAGGATTTTTGCCTTATTCAGTGTATTCAGTACTGACTCCATGTTGGTAGAAGAAATGGCACTCACTGGCAGGTAAAAACAGGGTCAAAGGGATAAGAATGAAGTTCATGGCGCATGTGGGAACACCTCCTTGGACCACCTACACAAGCGTCTCTTCCTTACTCCTTTTACAGGTCCTGAGACTGTAACCCATTATACAGGGTGCACAGCCCCTCTTGGAAGATAGCAGTGCTCTTAACATTACCGTGTTTTTCCATCTTGCTCCGACCCATACCTTCTCCTAAGCCATTGAGCTGAACTTCCCCAAAGTATATCCTGTAAGGAAGAAAGGAAAAGAAACATTACCCATTCCTAGATGATTTAAAAGTATACATACTGGGGGGCTGGAGAGATGGCTCAGTGGTCTAAAGCACCTACTTAGAACAAGCTTAGCAAAAGCATCAGGGACCGCGGTTCAATCCCCCA